TACATTTTGCATACATATATATTAGAAAAGTAAACTAATACCGAAACTAAAATAAGGGACGGCCTTATTACAAACACCTCCTAAAGCTAAACAGCACTAGCATAGCTAGCTAGCAGAACCTGTTTCTCCAGGGGTTTTTTTTTCCAGAGCAAAGCCTTTTTACGTTCGTCTATTATATAGTTGCAATAGTTAGATTTGTAAGAAAACTCTACTTGTTTTTTTTTCAGAGGGAGAAAGAGACGAAAGAAAGAGCTTTAGTATTATGTGTAGATGGGTGAGCCACTAGCTGGCTATCGTAAACAGATAACAACAAAGGAGGCGTACTAGCCTGAACAATCCACTGGAAACGGAGGCTCGCGGCCCAAAAATGTTTCAAACCAACTCACCAAATCCCTTGCGTTTTCCATCAGCCCTTCATATAGATGCTCTTCCAGTTACCTGTACTTCCTAATTTAAACAAATCCCCTCACCTGGGGTATAACCTAGCTTTGAATTTTAGTCTAAATACTACCAAGCAGGATATCAACAAATTACTCTGCAGCCTCTGCGCATGAGCGACCGTAACCTACTTTCGTGTGATTGGTGGATCTGCAATGGAGGTCATCGACCGATGCAGACACAAAATAGACTTTGCAGAGTAACTGAATGAAAGGGGCCTTCAGAACAACTACAGATTATTAGTCGGTGTAAGTACAGTAACGTTACAGTAATTTCAATGGTTTTGTTTTGTTTATAACTAGCTCCTGACTTTCATTTGAAATTTTTCCATATAAAAAGAACTTCAAAATAAAATACACAAGTATTACATGTGAAGTAAAATAAATATTTTATTAGGATATAGTGACATTATTACATTTTCGAAGACAATCTTTCTTGTGAAAGATTTCTACAGTAGATGTAATATGTTCACACTGAACAAAATCTGAGAACCACATTCAGCAACACTTTAGCTTTTAACTTCCAAAATATATTCACTTAAGCCTGATAATGGGCATAGTTTTTTTGATATACATACAAGTATAGCAAGAAACTAAACAATATTAACCACAAACCAACTGAACTTTGCTCCAGTAATTCCAATCACAATGCTTTTCAGTAATAATACTGGCATTCTAGATTTATTCCTTTCCCTATTCCTTGAACACAAAATTTAGCAAAGCAGAACAAAACATTAAACAAAAAACAAAGAATTATTTGCTGAAGTAACAACAACAAATGGATAATGGCTGGAAGAACTGTGGCACACTCATCAAGTAGGTAAGGCTTCAGGAAGAGGGTTTATGTAATCAAGTTTAGGTTTGGCAAAGCTCTATATCATCATTAGGGCTGATGCTGAGGAGTAGATGTTGAGGGCTGCTAAAGAAAAGTTAATCATTTTTAGACATAATGGTTCACACAAGAGCGTTCACTAGCAAATGTTCAGAATCAGACATCAAACTGGGAGAAGATACCTTGGTTTTTTTTAAATATCTTTGGTCTCACAGCAACTCGTCCTCCACAACATCATCAACACTTCCTGATATAGAGGCAGCTTCTGAGGTGCAAGAAGGAAACACTCAAGTTAACCATGACTGTAACAGCAGCTTCAACTCTTTTTGTTTATCCACCATGGTACAAAAGCTTGACTGAGAGTCATAGTGACACCGTTCCTTTGTTTCACTATGTTATATTTCCTGATTTGTTAGAGATAAACTACAAATTGCACTGAATACAAGTATTTGGAGTATTAAGGGTCAAGTTAATTGATCCTAATCAAAATGTATATTGTTGTGTTCATTTCTTCTTGAGACACTTTAGAAAGTTGATTTAACAGAACTGCATTCCTGTTAATTTTCCACCACATGGGGGCATACACTACCTCTCTGTAGGTGTAAGAAGTGTCCCAAGTCAAGTATGTGATTCAATGTGGACATCACTTGGATATTCTGTTGTATTTAGAAACCTAGATAACATTTTTACTTCAACATACAATCCCAGTAACATAAGGGTATGAGGGTTACTTTATGATCGCTTAAACATAGTCACTGGCAAATCTACAGTTCCATGACCGAACTCACCTGATAAACTAATACAGGAAAGACTGAGCTCTGATGATGCTCCTATTACATCATCCTGTTGGAAGAATAAAAGTGATTAGCCGCTGTTAAACAGTCCTCCAAACTTTCAGAACAGAAGTAAGGGGATTACCTAATCTCTCAGGCATAAAGATAAATTAAAATAATAATAATAAAAAATGACAGAGTACCTTGTCGGATACAGTTGGACAGAGATTAATATACCTGACAAGCACACCCAAGAAAACTAGGATGCTAGAATTGCATACCAATAATAAGAAGCAAGATTCTTTATTATTCTTTTATTAATGTCTTCCTTCACATACAGAAGTTCATATAAACTCATCATGTGCATGAATGCCATTGTAATTCTGGACTTGACTGATGATTTCTTTTAGCTGTTCTTTTTACAAGGGTGGAATAATCATACAGCATATATATTTTATGACATTAAAAAACAAAAATTGGGTCCATCATTTGGAAATCATTTTGGATATTCTCTAATCTGCAAAAGGTAAGAATTATACATATAGTGTCAAATATAAACATACACTCTCACTAATATTTGGTTAACCGTCTCTTAGCAAGTTGTACCTCGTTTAATAGCCATCAATAAGCTTCTGGCATAATTCTGGCATTTAGTTGCTGATTTGAGTCAAAGAATTTGAAGTTAACCCTCATTTTCAACATTCAATCCAATTTGTGCAACAGTACCACTGGCACAGTGCAGTATAAAAGTACATCAGACCAAGATGAAGTCCCTGTTGCAGGAACCTACAGTGCAGCACTAAGGATCTGGATTTGATCCTGATGAGATGCATGAGGAGCCTAGTCCGGAATTACCCAGTAGTAATAGTCCAAATGGTACAGGTGGAATGGGCCCAGCCAGCTAGAAGACTAAATGGTATCAGTCTTGCAGCCATGACTCACCTGCAAATCATGGCTGCAAGTCAGGGTTGTTGTCAGTCAGTGGAGGTTAACTGAGGGAGTCTGGATTCCCAAAAATGAGAATTCCACAATCATCCAGCAGTTTTGATCTATCTCTCTGTTCAGTGTTGATTTTTCCAGGATTTTTTCCCGCTGGCTTACAGACGTCCTGTTCAAGATTAAGTATATTGATACCCTATGTTTTGTCCAGGAAGAAGTAAGAGACGCTGGAAGACACGAAAAGCAGAATGAGTAACTTACCAGCATCATCTGCAGACAGCCAAGATTGCAGCCCTCTTTTTTTCCATTCAAATCTTCATGGAAGATAACGGCATAGCCTAATCGTATAAGCTCCTCTCCAACATCCACAGCCTTTTTTACATGATATGCACATGGAAAGAGGAGACAGGGTAAAGGACAAACCAAACACAGGCTTATTAAAGTCTTATTATTAAGAAATAAAATCCTATCTAACCTTGCCCTCACTGTTGTCATAGAGCTTGACACTGGGCCATGAGGAGATTTCCGAGTGAGAGTAGCTGCACAGTTTGGCCTGCAGGGGTCTCCAAAAGGCACAATATGTCAGCCTCTCAAACTGATCCAGGGCTTCCTCAGTCCAAACCCCTCCTGCATGACAAGTTGGTGGAGGAAAGAAACTGAAATAATCAAGAATTCAAGAATAATGCACTGCAGAATACTAAAAGACCTAAGGGCGTCAGTATATCCTCTGCATTGCTTGTGCCACCGTAACATCATCGCACAGTCAGTTTTATTTATGTTCCCCAGTAAGATGAGTCTGAGTGATATAGCAAATGTAGTTTTTTCAATTATGATGGTTAAAATGGCTCTATTGTAACCATCGAGTATAAACTGACATGGTAATAATAAGCTCTCTGCAGTTTTTTTTCTCCCACATGCTATAAATGCATCACTAATCCCACCCCCCAACCACAAATTTTTCTACCTGGCACACTGCGCTGAGCATGCGTGTTTATATACTACCAAATAGGGAAAAATATGGTGACAGTGAGAGTCTCAGACAAGCAAGGAAATGAGACTGTAACTGAACAGGAGCCAGACAAGATGGTTCCAAAGAGAAACAGCACTGGATCAATCATCTGGCAGTGGTTTGGATTTCCCAAAGAGGATGTCGAACCTAAACGCGGAACGTGGTATTTAGTTCTAGTGGTAATGTGGTCACATGGCTTCACTCAAACCTGGAGCTTGTGTTTTTGGCACAGAACTTACACACCTTAAACACAGATGACAGTGTTCTTGTTCAGGAGTAATAAAGTCACAATTCTTGATTATACGTTAGCTTCTGTGAATTTTTTTACCGCTTTGCGTGGTGTGTTTTGTTGTTTAAATTCTAGAACAGGTAGCGCGATCATTATTTAGATGGTTTTGAGATGCTCTAATACCTGTGATATGACTGTTCTTGTTCCGTTTTTTTTGCAGGCACTGTCTGAACTTGGAACCGTTTTCCATTTTACCACTTTTGCTGTTTAAACTTCTTAGCACATATAGAGACAATAGTTCTGAGATGCTCTGATACCTGTGACAGTTTTTGGTCAATGGTTTTTATAGACACTAACTACACTTTTGTTTCTGTAGGTCCTCACATTTTACAGTTTTTATATGTTATAAGCACAGAGAACACCTTTTTAATTACAATTGTTTTAAATTTGACTTTTGCTTACTTTTTTTTGTTAAAGGGTTAGTGTTGACCACAGAAAGACTGTGAGAATATTGTCATTTGTGAAAAACCTCTGTGTGCAACTGATGGTTAAAAAATGGTTAAAATAAAACATATCTTTTGGCTATATCGCAACACATGATGTGTTGTGATATACAATACACGACCAGACGAAAGAAATGGCCAAAATGGTAATGCCAGTTGATGTGATATGACACAGCGTGACAGGAGGTAAGCAGTGGCCATAAAAGTGCCCTTATGTCCTCATGTACCAGCAAGTGTGTGACAAAGTGTGTATAAGTATATGTGTGTGTGTGCGTTTGGGAAAGAGTGTGTATGTAATGCTGGGCATACACTGTGCGATTTTTGGCTCATTTTGAGCCGATTTTTCAGTCGTGCGACCGTTTTGGTGATTGGTCCGAGTTTCACCTTCATCGTGTGTCGTGTAGTATACATGGGGTAACGAGAAGCAATTAACACCTCAGGAGCAGCTCCCGATCATCAATCGCTTGGTCGTAAGAAAATCAAACCTGTTTGAAATCCTGTCAGCCGTCGTGAGGGTGTCACCGCAGCCTCTCACACTGCGCACGCGCAAACACAGAAATGAAAGTGAAAAGATGGAGCAGCACGGCAGTGCAGCGTGTGATCTGGACACAAGTGATGGAGGCACAACTTGTAGAACTTTGGCTCATCCGAGCCTTTTCGATGTGGCCTCACAAAATTATCACGACCACAACATCCGTGAAAATAATTGGATGGACACTGCTGCTCAATCACAGCTGCCTGATCAACGTTTTTCATTAGCAATTTAGCAAAGTTGATGGTGGTGGTGTGCGTGTCTGTGTGACTGAAAGACAGAGAGAGAGAGAGAGTGAGAGCGACAGATTTTCTATTATAACCTTCATGTTATGGAGGCACAGTCTGAGCACTCAGGTCGCATCAGAGCATCGGGTCATATGGTGAGACCCGATGCTCTGATGCATCGTGACCAACAAACTTCTAACCCCTGCGAGTCAATCGTGCAGTTTGAGCAGAAGCTGAATAACGCAACTGAAAAAAATCACACAGTGTCTGCCCAGATTAAGAGAGAGGAGCAAGAGTGTGTAAGAGAGAGGAACAGGGAGTGAAAGGGTAAGAGACAGTGAGTAAATGAGCAAGTGAGAGAGAGAGAGAAAGACAGTCATTGTTAAGATGAGAGCTTTACCTTTTGGCTTCACTCCTGCTAAGCTGCACTCAATAGCTTGAAATGGTAAACTGAGGAAGTCGCTCCTGAAAATTGCAGCATATGCAAAAGCTGTTAATAAGTCGTGTCCTTTTTTTATCCATATTACATCCAACATTATACAGTGTGCAGTAGCAGTATGTCACATCAAGTTCTTCGAAAGTTCGATGAAGAAGTGTACAAAGCAACACTCACTGCATGAGCTAACATAGAAATGCAGAATTTAAAATTGTGTGCTCTTCAAAATCAGTAACTCACCAGCCTCCTCCGAAGACAGCCAGAAACATTTGTCTCATGCTGATATGATGGTCACAAACAACAAAACTGCTCTTGTGCAAGGTTATCTTGTTTCTTTGTAATACTTCAATAAAAGCATTGCTGATTGTAACCAATTTCAAAGTAACGTGTTACTCTTATCATTATAATCATCACATTTGTCTGTAAAGCAGTATTATTTTTGCATTCTTGTACTAAATCCCTTGATCACGCTAAAACTACTAATCAATTTATTTTGTTTTTACTTGCAAGTGAAAACGAAATAGTTTGATAATTGTAAAATTCATAATAATCATAATAATTTAAGACTCCCATCCTGCATTTAGTCTGCTGTTCTGGAGTTACACCTTCTAATTTTAATGCTGTGGTGTTTCCCATCTCAGATCACAAGCTTGTATTGTTTGACATTATCAAAATCTCACCTACAGCTGTCATGTCCTTTTGGAATCTCAAGTGTTAATCCCCTCATTAGTTTATTATCCATTCATATTATCCTCACTGCTGACCTGCTACATCACTACAATGATAATTTATCCTGTGGCGGCTCCACTCTTAACACTCTTAACAAAATCAAGCCTGCAGAAACCACTTCTCATCATACTTCCACGACACAGTGCACAGCATTCCTGGACTTCTCCAACAAAACAAACATATCCTACAACTGAATTCTTCAAGGTTATCATTCTTTCAGCTATCTTAAGTGGAAAACATTACCAAACTCATGATGTCCAAAACTTCTGCGTGTTCACTGGACCCCCTTCCAACTGCCTTGGTCAAAGACTCCATTCCTACCCCGTCTCCAATTATAACTCCCATACATCATTTTACACTGCTGCTGTCCCCGTGTCCCTCAAGACAGTCTCTAACATCCCCATTCTTAAAAAAACCTGGTCTAGACTCCAAAAGTCTTAACAACTACAATGGTGTGAAAAAGTATTTGCCTCTTCCTGATTTCCTATCTATTTGTATGTTTGTCACATTTTAATGTTTCAGATAATCAAACAAATTTTAATATTAGTCAAAGATAACACAAGTAAACACAAAATACAATTTCTAAATGAAGGTATTTATTATTAAGGTGAAAAGGGGGGAGGGGGATCCAAGCCTACATGGCCCTGTGTGGACAAAGTGATCACTTGCCCAGTTATAAAATAAATTACCTGTGGTATGTCATATCTTCAGGAAGCTTCTGTAGCTTCACCCAGGCCCGATTACCACCTGATTACCAAGGATCGCCACCCTTAGCAGCAACAACTGCAATAAAGTGTTTGCGATAACTGGCAATGAGTGTTTTACAGCGCTTTGGAGGAGTTTTGGCCCACTCATCTTTGCAGAATGGTAATTTGTACAATGACAAGACACTTTATTGTTGGTTTATGTGGAATAGATGTAGTAGACCTATTGCATAATTTCAAGAATTAGATTTTTCAGGGACTTTTCCACCACTATATGATCACATGACCTGCTCTAAAAAAAAAAAGAGGCTGGAGAATAATGTGAAAGAAATGTGTTAAGTCTAACTGTTGAATGTTGTCATTGTGTTTCTTAAATTTGTAAAGTCTTAGTTCAAGCAGTAGGATCAAAGCCATTCCTTTGATCCTGACCACTAGGCCTGGGTATCGTCACTCATTTCTAGAATCGATTCAATTCCGATTCACAAGGTCCCGAATCGATTCGATCCACGATTCGATTTAATTCGATTCGATTCAATTCGATTTGAATCTAGGAAATTTTGACAGTCAGAAATATTATAATTCAGATCAGTACATTTACATATTTTTGTATCTATAAAAAGGAAGCTGACACACGCGAGACTTTTTCAAAGGTGTGAGCATCACAGCAGATGCCTTTGTGTCAAAGTAGCTGAGGATAAAACACATTTAAACATGAAGGCGATTTTCCTGGCCTGGGATTTTATAAAAATATTCTGCAGTACATCAAAAACGAAAGAAAACCATTAATCAACACATGAACATTACCTCTGAAGTTACAGCGGTTTTATTAGAGACACAGCGTTTTGCATTTTGCATAATTTTAAAAAGTTTAAATTTGTTCAGTGTTGAACGGCAGAAATTAGGTTTTCTTTCGGAAGTATATCAAACGAAAAAAAATGTCGGCCGACAGCGCTGTAAACTTGTGCGTAACAAGAAAGCGAATAACGAAGAAAACTGATTTTTAGACGGGAAACTGCTCTTGAAGTACAGAGAGAGAGAGAGAGAGGGAGAGAGAGAGCTGTGCATCGTGGTCGAAGCAAAACCGTAAAAGTCAGAGTGAATCCATGTGAAGTGTACTTTGGATTTTCTTTTGCTGCTGGTTCGGTCAATATTGTTTGGAGAGAGATCAAACTAACAGCTTTAGAATCGGCTCATAAAGGGCGTGAACACAAAGCGCGGACCTGCCGACAGATCAGAGTCAGCAAGCTGTCGGCTTTCAGCCCCGACTGTGAGAAAGGCGACATCTAACTGATTCTGATCCGCGGGTCGCGCTGTGTGTTTAAGTCTATGTGCAGAATCCGTGTACCTGCTCTCATTTACTGTCTTAGCTGTTTGGTGGTTGTTGAAATTTTGTGAGATTTCACCTGAGATTCTGGCATTTCGGGCAAAATAAATTTATATTAAAAAATCGATTCAGGATTTTAATGAATCGATTTTACGTTATCCAAGCCAGAATCGATTTTAATCGATAAATCGATTATAAAAACCCACCCCTACTGACCACCTCTCCAGCCACTCTGTGCTGGGGGAGGTTTTATTGTAGATACATCTTATCTGACAGATCTGTTTCTTGTGTTGTAAGCTTCCTGCTTCTATGACCCTTTTGGTCAGCAGGAGGTCACACAAACGCACCCCATGACAGTGCCTTGTCTTTGTAACCAAGGGGGGGTTTTATGGTGGGAGGTTCTTTTGCTGTGATGTGTATTGTAACTGTCCTGTCAATAAAAAGGCTACGAGGACAGCTACTCTTTGAAGGATTTGGGCTAGAGACAGGTGAGGAGCGTGAGCTCCAAGAGCTGGTTCTGACCAAAGCTTCCCTCGTTAGCGAGTAAAAAGCCGGTTGAAGATGTTCTGTCTTGTTTTTCCGTTCTTCATGAGGAATAAGTCTCTAAACTAGCGGGGCTTGTGGAAACACAGACCCAACAAAATGTCTTTTTCTTTCTTTAATGCCCAAACCTTTTGCCCTACATGTAAAATATATACACCAAGACATAACCATCTTGTCCTCTTTCATTCAGTGTCATTGTCTCTGAGATTTGGATCTTATTGGATTTACTTATTGGATTTGCCATTGATGTGCAGCCTCCTCCATCTCCCTCTCCTGTAGAGAACAACGTTACAACATCTCCCAAAATTCAGCTGAAAACCATGGCTGCAATCACAGCATTGTAAGATGGCGAAAGATGTAACCTTAGGCCCCCACCTCGATTCAGAGATGGCCTTTCCCTTTTCACGTAAATGGCCTTCTTGACTCTGTGCTCAAACCAGCGTTCCTCCCTGTCCAAGATGTTACATCCTCATCCTTGAAAGAGTGTCCACTGGCCTGTAGGTGTGAATAGACTGCAGAGTCTTGGCCGACGAGGCAGCTCTTCTGTGTTGTGCCATCCGCTTCGCCAGAGGTTGTTTGGTTTCCCCGATGTATAAATCCTGGCAATCCTCCTGGCACTTAACAGTGTACACTATGTTACTCTGTCTGTGTCGGGGGACCCGATCCTTGGGGTGGACCAGTTTTTGGCGCAGCGTGTTTTGGGGTTTAAAAGCCAAAGAGACACAGTGTTTAGAAAAAAATGCATCTCAACTGCTCTGATACTCCTGACACATATGGGATCACTACAGGTTTTTGCTTGGGCAGCGGTTGTCCTGGCCATTGATCAGTGGTCTTTGATCAGTGGGTTTTGGTCAGTGGTTGTAGATCAATGGTTATGAGAATTTGCATAATTAAGATTAAGGAACTGACTTCCCAGCCCTTTGTTCCTTCAGTGGGCTGGTTTCAGTCATTATGCAAATGTACTGTTTATAAGATTGGGGAAACCTGCAGTCAGCTGAGACTGAAGAAGTCACTTGGATGAGTGATGAAACGTTTCTCCCACAAAACGCTACGTCCAGATGAACAGAATCAACTTTTTGGAGATTTACTTTCCTGGATGATTGAAAATGCATCAAGGAGAAACAGCAAGTATACAGAATGAAATGGAACGGGCCCTCTGCGACGCTACAGATTAACAGCCTTAGAAAAAGATCATGAGACTCTAAAGAAAGATTACAACAAACTACACGACAAACGCCTGGATTTAGAAAACAGAAGCCGCAGAAAAAATCTGCATGTGGTGGGCATTAATGAGGGGGGAAACCCCAGCCATTTCATGGCAGAGTTTTTCTCAGAAGTGCTCGCGAAAGAAAACGGTGATTCATTTACTATAACAAACCGAGCCCACAGGACCCTCGCCCCGAAACTACGGACAGGAGAGCGCCCAAGAGCCATGATAAGGGCAAGGGATAGATTCTGCAACTGTCCAGGGGAAAAGGCTGCCTCTTCTACAAAGGATCACCTGTACACATCTTCCCTGACATGAACCCCGAGGTCAGCAAACTTCGTGCGACATTTAACCCCGTGAAAGGGAAACTGCGGAATGCTGGCATCCTGTACAGTACTACTATCCCGCGAAGCTGATTATAACAGTGAACAACACCAAGCACTCATTCACAGATCCGCGTGAAGCAGAGAAGTTCGTCAGTATCCACATCCAGAGCCCAGCCACATCTACTGACAAGGAGGG